ACCCCACCCCCCCCCCCCCCCCAACGCACTAACGGATGACGGGGGCGGACGGGCTGACATTGATGCGCTGCAGGCTGATGTGCTAGGGTGGTAAAGTTTAAAATCAAATCTGCATTCAGATGGTGCTAGGGAAGAGTCGAAGGGTCATGTGATGGAGGTGGAGATGGAGATGGAGATGGAAAGAGATAAGTAGAGCATGTTGATGCGATGAAGCGCTACTGGATGTTTATGTGTGTTTGTGTGTGTGTGTGTGTGTTGTAGTTCTACGGTAAAAAAAACCTCCATCGTAAATTTTACAAATTGTTGCAATTAGAAAAAAAAAAGAAAAAAAAAACGGATTCTGTTCCAAGGTTCAAGAACAGAGGTGGGTATTTTTGTACTAGTCTAACCCAACGATTATACACAACAGACAACTCATTTCTAAATACAAAGATTTTTAAACTAAAAAAAACGCCAACAATATCGAGAAGCTAGATCAGTCCTTCAGATTGCTTTTTTTTACAGGTCCAAATCTGGCATCTGCATGTCGTCGCCTGGTTCCATGAGGTTCATCAGGTACCGCGAACTAGAGAACCAGTCCTGCATTGCGTTTTGGGTTCCGCCCGGTGGGCCAAAACCAAGGCCCATTTGTCCCAAATGGCCTAAATGTGCATCGTTGCTCATGGTTTGGTCTTGCGCAAATCCCTGCATGCCACCTGGGCCTGCCGAATTGAGATCGTAGTCGGCGATTGGCCATGTTGGATCTGGAAGTAGGCCTAGGGCATTGAGGTACGGATCAAACTGCGCCATGGCGTTGAGATCGATTCGGCTGCCGTCTGCAGCGGTGTAATAATCTGGTTGACTGCTCTGTGTGACGCGTTGCGATCGTAAGGCAGCATCCTGTCTCTTGGCCAACACGTAAAACCTCGCCACGCGTAGGAATAGATGACACATCCTATAGAGCTTATCCAAGCCCTCAGAGATGGTACGACAAGATTCGAGACTAGTGACAAATTCGGAAAGAGAGTTGAGGTCAGCGCTGACATCAGAAGTGGCTGCCTTTTGAATGGCATGGCAAAATATAACGATGAACCTATTTACTTAGCACACGAATAAACGCAGAACACAAAAGACTTACGGTGTGAATGGTGCTTGAAGAATGGACCAATGTAGATATCCCGACCACAGCTCCTCTTCACCTTTTTTGTTGAATTGTGCAGCAGCCCTCTTGTTAGCCTTGAGGGCTTCTCGTGATGACTCAAGACACTCTTTGTTAAAGGCCATGTTGCCAGGGCTTACCGAGCGTTGTATGAGCGCACATGTCGAGTAGTGCGTGACGACGTCTGAATGAAAGAAGATGTCTTCGACACGCTCCCAGGCGTCTTGCACGGTCAGTCCAATTGTCATCAGAGAAGATATATTATCATGTACCTTGAATATATGCGTCGGGATTGCTGTCTTTCTTTAGCCGCTGCTGTACATATCGCTTGTACTGAGACGGCAGCGGCGTCTCGTTCGGATCGCGGCCTATGGCAGTCGGCCTTTGTGTGGCAGTGGAATTTTTGCCTAAATTTGAAGAGGCAGCCGATGCATCGGCTCGTTCGTACCAGGCTTGATTCATGGCATTGACAAGGTCTATTGCGATTGCCGTGCGTTCCTCGGTGGACTTGAGAAAAGCAGCAGGGCAGAAGAGCTTTTCGTAAGTCAAGCCCTGTATCCTAGCAACCTTGACCCAGTAGGACAGCATACGACTTTGATGCGAGAGGGCGTCGCTCGGAGTGATCTCGAGAATAAAAGGCAGCGATATATCCCAGTCTTGAAGGACACTTGACCGCCCCAGCCGAAGCGACAGTGTCTTGTCGAACATGTAGATCATCCAGAAAATATAAATCTTTGACTCCTTGTCTGCAGGGGGGTCGTGGATCATGGTGTTGATACGATGATAGCCTAGATTTATGCACATGCCTGCCGCACACGATGTCAAGACCCAGCAAAGAGAAGGCTTACACATGTGAGTTGCCTGTGCTGCCCCAAGCACCAAAGCCATGATATTTTCGTAGCTTGCTGGCATAAAAAGGTCGAGCTGGCTCAGGGCCACCTCTGATTGGCGCTTACACATGGCCGCATACGTGGCGTACTCGCTGACATCCATGTCTGGTGGACGAAAAGCGAGGAATTCGGTGTAAATGTTCTCCAGGATACCATAGGTGAGCATGCGTCGAGGCGTACCACATGTGTCAGGGTTGTGATATGCATCGTAGAAGATGTCTCTCAGGTTTGGCATCCTGAGAAAGGGGAACACGACAGCAAATGCCATGGTTGGGTATTCTGCTATGGTTAGCAGCATGCAAGACACGGGAATACTGAAACTCAACTCATAGCCGTTTCCAGCGCGTTTGAAACCGCGGTCCAAGGAGGCTTCTCCAGCTGTGTAGAGTCTATCTCGGCAAGGGAGCGATTGTAGAAGCGGTTGCCTGGAGCTCCGGCCTGGCCTTGCTGCGATACGATTTCCGACAGAGCAGTGAGGGCCATTTTGACTTCTTCATTCTGGCCGATGGAAGGGGTGTTGTCGATTACCTGTGCCAGCATCTCGCGAGCGTAGACGGACTGAATGTTAATCGAGCTCTCGCCCTCGAATGGTGCCGGCGTATGAGCTTCTTGCAAGGCACTTCCCGGGCTTCGAGACAGGCCCACGCGGCTGGACCGCGACTGGCTGCTTGTGTCATGGCTGTCTTTGTGAAGATCGAGGCTGCCGAGCTTCGATGACAGATTGGCGAGGACATTCTCGATTCCCGCCAGCCGGTCTTCAATCCGGTCTATCTTCTTCTCGCTGTGCAAAGTCAGTTCTGGTGGCATCCCGCTCTGCTTGGCCGTCTGCTTTGGGCATCACGACGCGTTGCTTCAGACCACAGCCGGCTCCTGGGCGAGGCCTGGCCGTAGGTGACACAAAGACATGTCCACGTGAACAGCCGAAGGGGGCTGCCATGATTGGCCATCTAGGGCACTTACTATTCTTCCGAGATGTGCACTCTTTGCCGCTGGGCCTTCTGTTGGGGCGCGGTTGTCTTGCAGGCTGCACCAGGTCAGCAGCCGTGGAGGGCGTACACACCGGACGCAGCATCACGTACTCAGCCTGCTGGCCCTGCAGTTGGAGCAGGGCACATTGCGGTCGCAACGTATCTTGCGGGTGCGGCAGCTGTCGCACTGGGAGGTGAGGCTGGTCAGCTGGCAGGGCGGCTTGCGGGCAGCCTCAGGCCAAGGCCCAAGGGCGGACGACTTACCGCACGCTTAGACACCCCCCCATCGGGCGAAGCATCCATGTCGTCGTCGTCCATGGCGTCGGCTAAAGGGCACAGCTAGTGCCGCGGTCGCGCTGGACGGAGAGGGCGAAAGTGGCGGTAGTAATGTGGAGAGAGCGGGTGGCGGGCGGCTCGGGCTCCGTGCGCGGCGTGCATGTCGTCGATGTCATGAGTGGCCAGCCAAATCTCGCCCGCGCCCAAAACCACCCAAACCACAAACCCCCCTCGACCGGCCAAGAACCGCCAGCCGCTTCGACATGCCAAACTCAGAAGCCCATCGTCTCGGCCCTACTTGGGCGGATTATACGCTGCAACCCCACGTGACTCTGCTAAAACAACGCCCTGTCGTTATAGGCCCGCCTTCTGCGCGTCCGAAACACGGGCGCCCTTCGCCTCCTTGGTCCTGTCCGGTCAGTGGCTGGCAACGCCCTTTTGGCACCACGTACCGGCCGTATGTTGCAATCTTCCGGCTTCGCCTTCTGGTGCAAACTTTATGTCGACATAGCTAAAATGCTCCCCATATCCACTGCTCTGGCGCTGAACAACAGCAAGTAGCCCTGCCAACATGCCACCAGACAACCACCAAGACAAGCTACCCGACTCCACGATGCGGATAAGTGAAGAGGCCAACCAGAGTGCCACTTCAGACGGCAAAAGAAATGGCCCCTCCGAAGAGCCCAAGGGCGGCATGGGTGGCTACCTGGTGAGCTTGCGACCCTGCCATCTCGACTGAATTCAGCATTGATTGTGTCACCAGCGCATATTCCAGTATACCGACAGGATTGGTTGGATGTTTAACATAGTCGCGTTTATCGCGGCTATTGCTGCGGGAACATTACTCCCGCTCATGTAAGCACATGAGTGCCGCCCGTGTACTTGACGCCAGCGCTGACTTTGCCGCTAGGGATCTAATTTTTGGAAAGTTGGTACACCCAATGCCAGCGGTATTCAGAGCCTCGCTGATATGTTAGATTCGTTTCAACCTTCATCGGGTTTGGCACTGGCACTGTCACACCCGCAAAGTTTCGTTCTGAAATAAACAAGTACACCCTGTACTTCATATACCTCTTTGTTGCCAAGTTTTTCTTGGTATACATTCACTCGGTATGCAGACTCATGACGAAATCCCGTGCCTCAATACTTACATCACCAGCCTTTTGTATCCATCGCTGCTATACGCACCACCAAGGCACTGCGCTACGACTTTATCAAACATGTTCTCAGGCAGAACGTGGCCTACTTTGATTCAGACGAAGCGGCTTCCGTCACAACGCAAGCTACTAGCAACGGGAACAATGTCAACAACGGTATCTCTGAAAAGCTGACGCTCACGATTCAGGGCGTGTCGACCTTTGTGTCGGCTTTCGTTGTCGCCTTCGCCGTACAGTGGAAGCTCACTTTGATAACCATTAGCATCGTCCCCACCATTATCGTCGTCACCGCCGTCTCTATTGGCATCGACACCAAAAATGAGAACAAACTGCTCCCAATCTACTCGAGGGCCGGACAGCTTGCAGAGGAAGTCTTCTCGACAATCCGCACAGTCCATGCTTTCTGGCTGCACCCTCTCTTGTCGAGCAAGTACGATAAAATCCTGGGCGATGCCATGGATCTAGGCATGAAGAAGTCTCCCAACTATGCCGTCTTGTTCTCGATTGAGTTCTTCTGTATCTACAGCGGCTATGGCTTGGCGTTTTGGCAAGGTATCCGAATGTTTGCTAGGGGTGAGATTAAACAGAGTGGTATGTTTTTTGCCCACAAAAGAGCCTTGGCCATTTTACGCAACAAGTACTTACATGTACACAGGCAGCGTTTTCACCGTCATTATGGCTGTGATTGTCGCGGCTACCGCAATGACGGCAATTGCTCCCCAAGTCATAGCTTTAACAAAAGCATCCGCATCCGCAGAGGAGCTTTTTAAGACGATTGATCGAAAATCCGAGATTGATCCCTTGAGCGAAGAGGGCAAGATACCTTCTGAGTGCAAGGGTGTCATCGAGATCAAAGACGTCAGCTTTGCGTATCCAGCAAGGCCCGATACTACAGTGCTGAACGGGCTGGCCTTGTTAGCTCCTGCAGGTAAAACTACAGCGCTGGTCGGAGCTTCTGGTAGCGGAAAGTCTACCATTATCGGCTTGATGGAACGCTGGTATGATCAAGCTCATGGTACGATTTATCTTGATGGCACCGATATCAGACAGTTGAACCTTACCTGGCTACGGACAACCATCCGTCTCGTCCAGCAAGAGCCGGTTCTCTTCTCTGGCACTGTATACGACAACATCGCCTTTGGGCTTTTTGGTACCGACAAGGCCAATCTTCCCCAAAGTGAGCAGCGGGCGCTGGTGGAAAAGGCCTGTAAACATGCTTACGCCGACGAGTTTATCCAACGATTGCCCAATGCAAGTTCCGCTGCTTGTCGTAGAACCCGTCTTTTGGTAATGCTAACAACTCACAGGGCTACGACACACAACTCGGCGAACGCGCTGCAAATCTCTCAGGCGGCCAGAAGCAACGCATCGCGATTGCGCGCAGCATCGTTTCAGAGCCAACTGTTCTACTGCTAGACGAAGCCACCAGCGCGTTGGACCCGAAAGCTGAGAAGATTGTGCAGCAAGCTCTGGAGCATGTTTCCCAAGGCCGAACCACAATCGTCATCGCGCATAAGCTCTCCACCGTACGCAACGCAGACAACATCGCTGTCATGGCTAGCGGCGCTATCATAGAGCAAGGGACACACGATGAGCTTCTCGCCAAAGACGGAGCATACGCGCGTCTCGTTAAAGCTCAGGACCTTGGCCAGAATCAGAGCGAAGAAGAGCACGTCGACCAAGACCCCGCCCAAGAAAAGATCGATCTCGTTCGCACACAAACACAAGCGTCCGCTATGAACCGAGATGTTGAACAACCGGGCAAGGATGGCATCAAATACAACTTGGTCAAATGCTCTTACCTGGTCCTCAAAGAACAGAGTGATCTTTGGGTAAGCCTTCTCGTCTTAGCAGTCGCCAATATCGTCGCAGGAGGAACGTTTCCTGCCCAGGCCGTACTGTTTTCACGCGTCGTCGATGCCTTCCAGTTACCTGCCGACCAAGCCGTAGAGCAGGGTGACTTCTATTCCCTAATGTTCTTTGTTGTTGCTCTTGGCAATTTGGTTGCATACTGTGCCGTCGGTTGGTCGAGCAACGTTGTAGCCCAAGTGATTGCACGGAAATTCCGACGCGAAATATTCGATTTGGTCCTCAGGCAAGACATGGCCTTCTTCGACGACCCGAGCAACGCCAGTGGCGCAATCGTTTCGAGGCTGTCAGCATACCCTGACAACTTGCGCGATCTCATGGGCTTTAACTTGATGCTTATTCTGATCAATATTGTTAATGTCCTGTCAAGCTCCATCCTTGCGATTGCTGTGGGGTGGAAGCTTGGTCTTGTGGTGGTCTTTGGTGGTGAGTATCCTGAAACGCCAATTGCAAAGCCGTACTAATTTTGCATGCACTCAGCCCTACCGCCGATTGTATTTTCTGGCTATCTCCGGATCAGGCTTGAATTCAAACTCGAAGATCTGACTGGGGCGCGTTTCGCTCGCAGCGCAGCCCTTGCTTCTGAAGCTGTCTCCGCCATTCGCACCGTATCCAGTCTCGCACTCGAGCGGCACATCCTAGCGCAGTATGAGAATTGTTTGCGGCCCGTCGCAAGAGATAGCATCAAGGCTCTGATATGGACCATGTTCTGGTATGCACTCACGCAGTCCATCTCGTTTCTAGCAATGGCTTTGGTATGTGCTTCCTGTAGTTATTTCCGGGGGAAAGGCTGACATGACCCAGGGCTTTTGGTACGGTGGCCGCCTCATCAGTACCGGCGAGTACACGACGGGGCAATTCTTCACCGTCTTTATCGGCGTGATATTTTCTGGAGAAGCAGCTGCAGGGTTCTTCTCGTATACGACAAGTCTGACCAAGGCGGCGACCGCGGCAAACTACGTTTTCTGGCTGCGAAGGCTGAAGCCTGCCGTGGAGCAAGATGCATCAAGACCACCTTTCGAAGACGAAAAGGACAAGGGTCCGGCGCACATCGGGGTTCAGGATGTTGCGTTTGCGTACCAGTCTCGGCCACACGCCAAAGTTCTCGAAGGTATCAACGTCGATGTACAGCCCGGCCAGTTCATCGCCTTGGTGGGCGCATCTGGCTGTGGCAAGTCGACAATGGTATCCCTTTTCGAGCGGTTCTATGACCCGATTACCGGAAGCATAACGTGTGACAAGCGGTCGTTGACGGAACTCTGTCCCCGCAAATATCGCCGCCATGTTTCGCTGGTCCAACAAGAACCGGTACTATACCAAGGCTCAGTGCGTGACAATATAGCCATGGGAATGGAGGGAGACGCCATGGATGCGCAGGTGGAGAAGGCGGCCAAGCAATCCAACATATTTGATTTTGTCAAATCGTTACCCGAGGGTTTCGCAACAATGTGTGGCAGCAGAGGCACGCAGCTGTCAGGAGGACAACGGCAACGTATTGCAATAGCTCGGGCGTTGATACGCGAACCGCGCCTACTCCTTCTCGACGAAGCCACATCCGCGCTTGACACGGAGTCTGAGCGGGTGGTGCAATCAGCACTCGAGGAGGCGCAGAGCGGGCGTACCACGGTCGCGGTGGCGCACCGTCTCAGTACCATCAAAGACGCCGACACCATCTTCGTCTTCGCCAAGGGGAGGATTGTGGAAAGCGGAACACACCAGGAGCTGCTATGTCGGTGGCGGAAACGGCGTCCAGAAAGCAGGCCGGCTGCGCTGTAGCAGGCACAGCGAGGACATGTCCTGTGGAATTCCTCATACGCGTGTATTTGCATTCGCACAGCGCAGGTCAGTGGGGTGGAGAGGAAGGATGGGGGAGGGGGGGGGGGAAGAGGAGAAAGGAACATACTTAGGGTCTGAGGACGCTGCAGTGGCGCTGCGACCCCTGCCCATGGCACTGGCTTGGCCTGGTCATGCTTGCGGGCCACAAACTTGCCGCATCAACGACATGCCACTGTGTGAGCCCGCCATCTTATCACCACAATGCGGACGAGCTTTGTCGCGTGCCCGTTTTGGTTTTTTTGTGGCTGCACGAGCCTGTTCATCATAATGTCACTGAGGAGCAGCACGCTAATTCGGACTACAGACTCCCGTCCGCAGCTCAAAACAGCTCCCAAGGAAATCTACCAAGAAAAACAAGAGGGATATTAGAAATTGTCTATTAACGGCACAGCCTACAACATTTGGATTCCCGTTTCCAGCAGCCATGCTATGTTGGTATCGCTCGGTCCAGACTCTGCCCCAGGCACATCTCGTAGTACATGCCTCTCCTCGCACAGACACAACTTGGACGCCACTCCAATATGGCCCTCTCGAAGCATCATGCATCGTGCAAACAGAACTGTCAGCGTCAGTTGGCACTTCATCTTAAAAGCGTGGCTATGTAGCTCCGACAGCCCTTGCCATGCTGCCGCGCGGTGTCGAGAGGCTGAAGCACAACGCGCTCCATCGCAGCCTCGTCAAACGGCCAAGGCGTGTCAGATATTCCCCGGAACCAACCACGCGACTCCCACAGGCACCACCCCCTGGTTGATACGTGTCTTAGCATTACTCAGGTCGACGGTTCGTCGCTTTGCCTGTCGATCGCACGTTGCAGGTTCTGGGCATCTTTGAGCCTTAGTTTCAAGGACATCCACGTCGGCCCAATGGGAAGACGCCTGTTTCCTGGCATGTCCCAGCGGCCTTGAGGATTGCGAACGTTGCCCAGCCGCTCCACTGGGCCGCGAACTGGAGACGTAGTGCGACTGAGACTAATGACCCTGACAGGCTAACCCCGAGCCGTCATTGCACATTCAAAGCATTGGCGTCTCCATGCTCGTTCGCCGCACTCTCTCTCCTCTCACTTTCCGATTGATGTGGGCTGGCGTTGTCGTCCCTGAGGGAGTCTGACCTTCTTTTTGACAGCTCCGTTGACCGGATACATTCTTTTCGGTTCACAGTCCTGGCGACATTCTTTATTTTCATCTTGCCTTCTTGATATACTGACGCTAGTTGCCTCTTGGCGTGTAACTTTATATAATACTTGTTTATTACCTTGGTCATGGCTCGATATCAGCTTCGACGGCCATCGCCGGTGCGCATTGTCCCACGGCACGTCCGCCGTCAGGGCGGCGCTACAGTGTTTACGATGCCCGTGGATAACGAGAAGGACGAGCCCGATAGCCCGGACTCGCCGTTCAGCAGTCCGTCGACAGCTGGTGGACAGTCAGATTCCGATTCGTCCGACTCGGAAGACGAGAAAGAGGACAAGAAGAAGAAGGCATCATCATCGTCACCATCAAGGAGTAGTGCCTCGCAACCTACCCAAACTCTGGGTCCCGCAACAACTACGACAACTCAGGCACCCTCTCTGCCAACTTCCTCGATCCAAATCAGCGTCACAGTCACTTCGCGAAGTTCCGCCGCGCCGCTTTCAATACCGATACCGCTTCCAACGATAGCAAGCACGACATTGGGCACCATGACCAGCTTCCCTGCGCCATCTAGCTCTACCGTCACGACTCAAAGCGGTAGAAGAAAACAAGCCCCGCCAACATTTCCCCCACCATTTTCACCATCACCATCAGCAACAGCTTCGGCAATAGCTTCGGTAATAGCTTCGTCCAGAGTCCCGTCAAGAGCTTCGTCAACAGCTTCGCTACCACAGCTACCTTTGTCTACTGCCGTACCAGAAATGAGAGGTGGACCTGCCGCTCCACAAACGATGGAAGATCAGGATAAGCCCATAATGACCAAACAAGCCATGATTGCAGCAATCGTCCTGGGTGTGCTCGGTTCGTCTACATTATCCTAATATGCATGGCCATAGCTAATAACTAAATAGGCGCATTGGCCCTCGTCGTCGCGGGAGTCATCTTTTTCAAGCGCCACAGATGGCGAAAAAGGATGGGCCAGATGCCCTTACAAGACGAGCCCTATGACTCGCCCAACGACCGGTTTCTCGCGTCCCCGGCTACTGCACACGTAGGCACCACATCATCCGTCTTTGCGCGTCTCAATGGCGCCAGCAATGGCGGAGCAGAACGTCCCCTGACCCGGTCGACGGATCGCAGCAACACGCTCTTTGGCGCAGGCACATATACTCGTCCCGAAACCGTCTCTACGGACCGAAACAACTTCCCAATGGCGCCGCCCCTGACTCCCAATCCCTTTGCCGACCCCCAACGCAACAAGGCCTATGACATGCTCAACAACCGGCCTCGAAGCACCACATTAACCGACCGCGGTAGCTGGCGCGAGAATCCCTTCAAGAACCCCGCGAGCGACCGATTCGACCCGTTTGGCGAGCTCAAGGAGAAGGCCAGGCGGGAGCGCATCAAGTATCTGCAGCAGATCAAGAGGGAAGCCGAGCTCCAACGCCAGATGGAGCAGAAAGAAGCCATGGGACTACGACCCGATGATATGCCTTGGGGCGCGGATAGAGGATATAGGTAATCATGTGTATACTAAGGCACGACTTGAATGCAACTATATTTCAATATTTCAATCTTGGTCGTCGAATCAAGTAGTTGTTTGTGACGTGCAATTGTGCTATAGGAGATGTCAGACATGACGACTCTCTGTCTCTGTCTCGGTCTCTGTCTCCGACTTATGCGTCTCAAAGTGTTCGACATGACTAGATATCCAGTACTACGCATACTCTCGCATAACGACAAGCACGACATGCATATTGAACACAAAAATCCTAGTCTAGAAGAGATTATGATGGATTTTTTGCCACGACGGCGCGATATATATTTTCTAACCATAGTTATACATAGACTTTTGTCTTAATCCACACTTTTTTTCTTCTTCTTCTCCTTCCTACCCTTTCCTTTTCTCTACCTTTTCCTTGTCTTTTTTCTTTAGTTTTTTTTTCCGGTTTTCCTTTCTCATTCCTGCACACACTAGCATACATGTACATACCATACATAGCACCGAGCCTTGTAGCGTGTACTTGGTGTTTTTTTTCTTTTTTTCTTTGAGTAAGGCTAGGCTAGGCTAGGCAAGAAAAAAACCAAGACAAGTCAGGTCAAGTCAAGTCGAGTCAAGTCAAGTCAAGTCAGGCTGGGTAGGTAGGTAGGTAGGTAGGTAGTTAACCATCTACTTAGAAGCCGATCGGTATGTGAAGAAAGAGGGAGGAGGAGGAGGAGGAAGAAGAAGAAGAAGAAGTAGCTAGCCGTGTTTTCAAGCCTGAGTATATACAGTAGAGATGTACAGCTTGGAAAATGCTCTTGGACAGATACTAGCTACTGGATTAATTCAAGTCAAGTCAAGTCCAGTCAAGTCAAGTGGATCAGGTCAGTGGATGCATTATATTGATTCCTCAGGTAATAAGGAAAAAAAAAGGAAAATAAGTGGTAAAAGGGCTCTGGCACGTTGACATACTTTGCATATTATACATATATATAAACAAAGATACTGCAGCATAGATGTAGAAGAGAAGAAGAAAAAAAAGCTCAATCATGGAACTGCATCAGCATCTACCAAACTACGTGAGTTTTGCATTTTACAACTTGGCAGCATCATACTTTGGATCCTTGGCGTTGAGTTTCTGGTCGTACTCGATTTTAACTTCATGCTCAATGCCGTCTTCATCCACCATCAAGGCACAGTTTGCATTGATGAGGTGCCATTCGTTTTCGTCGAACGTGGTGGGTTCACTAGCGATGATGGTGTGTTTACCCATTCTCTCTGCTTCAAGCGTGGCCTCTTCGTTTACGGCTTCCTTGCTGTCCGGGTTGCCCGGGTACTTTGTGTTGAGGGTGCGGCCGGCGAATTCGGACCAGTAGAGGCTGGGGGGCTGCTGTGTGGCGTGGTTGCGGAAGCGGATGGCGAGCAGTCTGCGGCCGTCGGTGGTGCAGAAGTTGAGGGAATTGGGTGTGTTTGCGTCGCCGAGCTTGGCGTGCTGGAGCTCGAGAATGCGAATCACCGTCTTTTGCATGGCTGCTAGCATGTCCTTTAAAGGATACGACTTCTCCCAGCTCTCCTTGCCCCCGCCTCCTGTCAGGAACGTCATGTATAGTGCAGCGGCGTGTTCAGAGTCGGTGCTGCCGAGAATGTTGCAGTACGAGTCAAAGGAAAGGTCGTCTGTCATGTCGCGGCGGATGTTTGAAAAGTTGGAAATGACACCGTTGTGCATGAAGACGTGGCGGCCAAAGACAAAAGGGTGCGAGTTTACTTGTGTCACGACACTGCCGCTGGTGGCGCGGATGTGGGCAAAGACACAGTTGGACTCGGTGTTGTAACAGAGGGATTTGAAGTTGAAGTCGTTGATAGGTGGGGACTGCGACTTGTAGAGGGCTGCGCGCGGGCCGTCTACATGCTTGACGTACGAGGCGGTAGCATCAGTGTACCCTGTGGAGATATGAGCAAGGCAACTCAATCATCAGCGGTATTCACTTACAGGCGATGCCTAAGCCGTCCATGTTCAAGAGTGAGTTTCGCATACGTATGAGCTCATCCGAAGCGTCGTCGAGATCCTTGTCCTCGTCATGAGGGAGGAGCTTGGGGAGATAGTGCTCGGAGCACTGCTTGCTGATGCTGTTGTCGGGCGTGATGAGGACGTCGGAAAGGAGACAGGGCTCCGTAGGAGAGATGTAGGCGAACCAGCGACACATGGTGCTAATCTTCCGGGCTCTCTTCTCGCTTTGGATGTAAAGAAAAGGGTGAGATGTCTAGATGAAGAGCAGGTTATATAGATATATGGATGTGGAAGACGGCTCTCCGCAGAGAATTGCTTGTGGAAAGGATGGTTGCTCGATGGGTCGCACTGCAGCCTCAATGACGCAGTCTTTCTGACGTGGTATTCGGTCGGAAGCAAGGCGTATAGCGAAGGCGCTTGGAGGCGTCTGAGGGCACGTATCACAGGACACTATCGAGGGCGGATCAGGAAAAAGAAAGCTTGGGTTGCTCGGCGAGGATAGCGTAGGTAGTAAAGAGGTGCAGACTGCAGGTATATCGCTGTGGCTATGCCTTGTAGGGACAATGCTGCTCCCGGACCGTACCGCGTGCAGACGGCTGCAGGGTCAACCAAGATGCAAGTGGTGGTAGGATGATGAGGCAGAAGGCACGTTGTGATAGCCGTAGTGCGGGGCATGGGGCGAGAGCGGGGCAGGTGGTTGATAAGCAGCACCGATACAAGCCATGTCGTGGTTTGTGTAGAGCATGGCTGTCTTTGAATGTTCAGATATTGCGCATGATTGTCAAGACGGAGATTTTGTAGACGCAGCTGGTACTGTAGTAAGAAGGTTTGGCTAGTCGGCGGCTGCTGTGGAGTCTTTCCCCGCATGCAACCTTGGATCGACCCGGGCTGTCGAGAGGGACCTGCATTGTGGATTCTGGGGCGTGCCGCGGCGAGGATGCATCATGGAACAGTGGGGTGAAGAGGTGATGATGGCCGCAGCAGCCAGACAGCCATGCTCGTGCACTCCGCGTTGCCCCACGTGACTCTTGGCAGCAGATTCACGTGACTCTTGGCGCCCCGCCCACGTGACTTGGCCTTCACGCGATGCGGCTCCCACTGCGGGTGCGGGTGCGGCTAGGAGAGTCCCCCTCCCCTCGCACTGCTGCTGAAGCGTGCAGCTGGGGCGGTGCCGAGCCACGCTTGTGAGGAAAAAACCAAGGCCATGTCATGTTTGTCACCTGAGGCGCTTGCGGCACGGGTGCGCGAGTGCGAGTGGGAGAAGAGGAGCTGGGAGGGAGGCGAGGGACAGGCTCCGTGCGTGTCTTGGCTCGGTACTTCTCAAGCATGATGCCGTCATTCCTTCTGCCTACCTGGCCTCCACCATTTGCCATGGCCAATCTCTCAACGCGTGCGGGCAGCGCACCACGACAACTTGAATCAAGCACCGGCGCCTTATTCCTTGTCAGCAGCCGAGAGTCGGTCCAGAGGCTTCGCCAGTGCGGCTCCTCGATAAGCCCTCGCTCGACGCACGCCCACGCCCACGCCCACGCCCGTCGTATCCAACAGCCCTTTTCTCCCAAAACACGCGAGCTGCTGTCGCCGTCCAGCAACCTTGCCCGCGCTGCGCCATTTCCATGGGCCCAGCAGACGGCTCGCAATCAGTCTACCTGTCGCCGAGTGTCGTTTAGCTGCGCCGACAGGGCTGCAGGCTCGTAGTTCGCCCGACCCATGCCACTGCAGCCACTAGGAGCACGCTTCGGAGGCGCGCGAACACTTAGCCCTGGCCACCACGCTGGATTACGTTCCCTTAACTGTCGTCGCGCGGCCGACAACCTGGGCCCGTGTTGCATGCTCGAGTGCCTGACCTGGCTGCTGCTGCTGCTGCTGCTGCCGCTGCTGATGGCTGGGGCAAACCGTCGCCCACGCCGACCGCCGCCTAACATGGCCCGCCGACACCCCTACCCACGCCTACCCACGCCTGCCCGCGTCCTATTCGCATCGCCCGCGACGGGGCGGGGTCGCGGGCGCTGGCGTCAGGCCAGGGCTGTCTGAAAACTCTGTGCCGTCTGCCGATAATACATACCATGTCGGCCATGGTGGGTACATTCACTACGCTACAACCAGCACGCCAAGACGCCTATCCCAGCACCCCGCCATTCCCCTTTGGGACCCTGGTCGTATCGCAGTCTTCACCACCGCGAGGATCCACAGGCATGGCAATGGGCTGCCTCCCCCACCCGTGGTATAAAGGCCCTGCAATTCACCCTAGGATGGCTGTTTGCGATAAGGGCCAATTTGCTTCCTCGTCCATCACCCTCCCCTCGCCCTCCTTTCGTCCACTGCTGTCCAGTGCGACTCATTTTGTAGCCCGAGCTGCACCCTCGCCCGCCCCCCCAACGCGACTTGATAGTCGGCCCTCCCGCCCATTCCAGAGCGACACAGCCCTCCCAGCCCACTGTCCCACACCTGAAGCGACTTCCCTTGCGACCCTCGTACTCTCCCTTGCGACACTTGCCCTTTCTGCCTACGCGACAAAGCCCTCTCCCTCGTCCCCTTGCCACCATGGCCACCGAAGAAAAGAAGTATTCTGGCCAGTTTGTCCGCGAGTCGGAGCCCAATGACGATATCCAACATGGCGTCGTGACGGACAACTCGGATGACTTGCAGCGCCATCTGGGAAACCGACAAATCCAGCTGATTGCCATTGGCGGCTCCATAGGTACTGCTCTGTTTGTGTCCATCGGTGGTGCTCTGAACAAAGGCGGACCCCTCGGTATTCTGCTCGCCTATGCTGGATATTCGTGTATCATCGCCCTCGTAAACAACGCCATGGCTGAAATGGCCAGCTTCATGCCCGTCTCGGGAGGTTTCATCCGCATGGCTGGACAGTGGGTAGATGAGTCGCTAGGCTTCATGGCCGGCTGGAACTTCTTCTTCTACGAAGCCCTGCTGATTCCGTTTGAAATCACGGCTCTGAACGTCGTACTAAAGTTTTGACGAGATGACATTCCAGTCGCTGCAGTCTGCGCGGCCGTCATTGTCTGCTACGCGTAAGATGCCCGAAAAGAGTAGATTCCCAAGACTGCGACTAACCCCGCACAGTGCTTGCAACGTCTTGGCTGTCAAGGCCTTTGGCGAGGCCGAGTTCTGGCTGTCTGGTGGTAGTAAGTATACCTGTGTGCACCAACCCAAGCAAACAAGCAACCACTGACGTGTCATGCAGAGGTGCTGCTCATCCTGATTCTCTACTTCTTCACCTTCATCACCATGGTCGGTGGCAACCCCCAGCACGATGCCTACGGTTTCCGGCATTGGCGCAACCCCGGCGCGATTCCTGGAAACAATGACCTTGCCCGATTTGAAGGCTTCCTCGGTGCTCTGTGGGCTGCCTCGTTCTGCATTGTTGGCCCCGAGTACATCTCCATGGTTGCTGGTGAGGCCAAGCGCCCGCGTGTCTACATCAAGACTGCCTTCAAGACGGTCTACTTCCGATTCGGCGCCTTCTTCATCCTGGGCGCGCTCTGCGTCGGCGTTGTTCTCGCCTACAACGACCCCGAGCTCGTGTCGGTACTCAAGGCCGGAGAGAAGAGTGCGGCTGCGTCGCCCTACGTCATTGCCATGAAGAACCTCAAGATCACAGGTCTTCCCCATCTGGTCAATGCCCTCTTGGTCACGAGCATCTTCTCTGCCGGTAACACGTACACGTACTGCGCAACCCGCAGTCTGTACTCGCTCGCCATTGAGGGCCGCGCCCCCAAGATCTTCCGCAAGTGCACCAAGAACGGTGTTCCCATCTACTGCTTCCTCGTCGTCATGATCTTCCCCTTCCTGTCGTTCCTGCAGCTGTCGGACGACTCGGCAAAGGTTCTGACGTGGCTGGTTAACATCATCACTGCTGGAGGTCTCATCAACTACATTGTCATGTGCGGAACATACCTCGCCTTCTACAAGGCATGCAAGGTCCAGGGTCTTGACCGCAGGACGCTCCCCTACTACGGCTACCTGCAGCCGTACGGAACGTGGTTCGCGCTCGGCTTTGAGATTTGCGTTGTTTTCGTCTACGGTTACTCGACCTTCAAGCCCGGCAACTTTACTCTCGAGTCCTTCTTCACCTACTACACCATGGTGATTGTGGCGCCGATTCTGTTCGTCTTCTGGAAGCTTTTCAAGAGGACCAAGTGGCTCAGCCCACACGAGGTCGACCTTGTCTGGGACGCCCCTCTGATTGATGCCTACGAGGCGTCTTTCATCACTCCACCGGTGAGCTTCTGGACGGAGATGCTTCAGCTGGTTGGGCTGAAGCGCAACGTGCCCGTGGACAAGCGTGCTGTTTGAGTTGATCTCAGCATGTGTTTTTGTTTGGCAGCATGAATCATGTGCAACGAGGTATTTGACCATGCATTGACTAGGATGGATAGATCGGTCTTTTCCACAGCCTAGGTGCTGTTTACGCGCTCAGCTGAATGCAATACCCTTTGACTTTGCAGAAGCAGCCAACTGACGACTTGCAATTGGTGACGAACCTCTGCTATCTCCCATGCGACAAACAGCGAGGCAGACTTTTCCAACCCAAGCGACAATTGATGGTGCACCGACGGCGGCAAACCCCAAGCGACGCCACCACGCGATATGATGCATGCAGCATGTGCAGCCCTGCCATGTGACGACGACCTGTACCATGGTGTGAGGCTAGTCGGCCTGGCCTTTGCCACCAGCGACTAGAGGCTCGATGGCGACTCTGTGATGCCGACAGACTGGGTCTGGAAGAGGCTGTCCCAATTCCCAGCACTGGCGGTTGGTTGACAGGCTCGGCAGCGCCTGCCATGTGCGGACAGCCCAAGCGCGACATGTGGCAGGCAAACCACACCATCACCATCACCACCACCACTCCCACTACCACTACCACTACACTACCACCACGACGATACCCATCTACGTCGCTCTAGACTGCATGCCGCTTTCCATTGTCGCGTGTGCATGCGCTACTTTTTGCTCGAGACTTGCCGGCCGCTCGGAGCATGGCGACGCCTGGCCTATCGCTTGCCACCCCGCGCCCATCTTGCAAGCCATCGATCAAGGCTGACGGCAGCCGGATACGATTACCTGGCCGGTGAGCCTTTCACCAGCCGACGCTGGACCGGTCGTCTGTGGCTTGCAATGCTGGTACCTGCAACTCGACCCACGCGCGTAAGCCTGGGACCCGGCCCAAATCCCCTCAACCAAGAATCGCCTCCCTTGTCGTCGCGTAGCCGAGGCCATATCAGCGCAGGACATGCTTTAAGCATTCGCTCTCTACATCCCAAAACGTTCATCGCACCCGCCCGTCTTTTTTTCTTAATCTCTTCGTCTACGACGACTGCCGCACAGTTCCGCTTATGGCCTTCACAGCAAGCCACAAGCTCGCGACGCACCTCGTCCTTCTCCGCCAATCACCCCGGGAACCCCTACTAGTAATCCACCGCCGTGGAGATGCACTATGCTGCTCACAAAGCTAGCTCTTCCGCCCCTTGCAGCCTTCTTACTCCGCATTTGATAACGCAGCTGCGGGTTCCGGGGGTCCACACTTTTTTTCTCGTTGGCTTTTCATGCGACAAGCAACACGCAAGCAAGGTTCACCATGTGCGCACCCACATCATCCATCAGGCCCGATGGCATTTTGCGAGTGCGAGATAGGCGCATCGCCTGCTTCGCGTCGGGCTTTTCCATCATATGCATGATTGGGATTGCGCATGCCGCGGCTGAGGTTCGGCTGCATTTCCTAGTCATGTAGCGCGACGCGACCTGCGACCATGCCAGACTACGGCTGCTGCTGATGACGAGTTATCGCTGGGGCGGGAGCCGCATCGCACCGCACCGCACCGTATTCCCGAGAACGCAACTGGTCGAGTAATGTACATGCGTGGCTAATATGAAGTAGCTGTGTCGTTGATTAATGCCTCTACATCAATCACAGCAACATGTTCTTTTTTCCGTCGGCAGTAATACTTGGTAAGTGGTCAGCGCCGAACACGTGCTTTTTTTTTGCGTTATCGTAAACTTGACTTTTTGGCCGCCCACACCCCCCGAGTGAGACTGAATCTTAGCCGAGTGGCAGCGCCCCGATTTATGCTGGTGAGACTTTGATATAGATGCGTGAGACGGCACTTGCTGTGTTCTCCGTGATGCATGTGGTTGTGGAATCAGTTGTGCTAGATAAAGGAAGAAAGTATGAATGGTTGGAACGATGCTATCTATCTGTCTGTGCAACAACGATACGAGTTGGTGAGTTTGAGGCCAAATGCTGATTGCGAAGAGTATGTATGTATGTATGTATGTATGTACCTGTGCTTAGATATGACTAGAGTCTATGGAAAGCGTTTGCATTGCATTGGGGTTAATGACCCGCTACAACTCTACTTTCCCCTTTTCGCAACAAAAAATCATATTTAAACCAGATATCGAGGTAGAAATAGACTTTACATCCAATCCAATCGAATTGATATCACACACACACACACACAGACACCCCAGAATTCCATGACGCTGACCCCCTCAGCAAAAGAGAGAGACGGAAAGAAAGAAAGAAAGAAAGAAAGAAAAGTCAAGCGCAAGCGCCACACGCCTCTTCCCTCTCCGCCTTCCATCCATCCTTCCATCCAACCTTCCACGTCCCCCCCATCCCAGTCCACTGCATCCCACACACCCATGCATCTCGCACCGGACGGCATCGGGCCTTTCCCGCCACTCTCACGCAACCATAACCATAACCACCACACACAACCACACACACACACAGAGAGAGAGGGAGAGAGAGAGAGAGAGAGAGAGAGAGAGAGAACATCGTAGTAGCTCTTCCCCTCGCCTTTCCCCTCCCTTGCTTTGCCTTTCTCATCCCCTCCCTCCCCACACACACACACACACACGTACCCCACCTCCGTCCTTCCCTCCTCCCCGCTTTATCTCCCAAACGGACCGATTGGTGGCTGTTTGATGTGAAAAGGGCCGATGGGGAGGTATGGGGGTGGGATAAATGGATGGATGGATAGAGAGAGAGAGGTTGAGAGAGAGAGAGAGAAGGGGGGGGGAATGATAGTGAGGTGTTTAGGGGAGATGTACATGTATGTATATATGTATGCATGTATTATTATTGTTCCATTAGAGTCTAGTGAGCTCGAGGCTATGTAAGACTTTGGCCGA